AAATGTACTCACAAGTGAACCAGTTAAATAACACAAATACAATGATTCAAGTTTATTTTTTAATACGAATTATTGCACCAGTATGCAGTGTGCTAGGCTTATTATAAAACAATAAAAGCGTAGTTAGTATGCCATGGTTTATTGATTCCAGGCACAACAACCCTCATTTCTACAGAAGAACCAACATTTTGGTAATTAGGTAGCAATATGTTAATGTCATATTGTGTCCTGTTACTTTGTATTTAGTTACTACACAGCCCATTTCCACTGAAGAGCCGACAACGAGCATTGTCACCACTACTTTAGTCCCACCAACTACGAACGTACACACAACGAAGTCAGGTAATTAACATAAATATCAGAATAATACATTTATTATTTAAATATGTTATGAACTATCGAAATCCTTTAATTCATGAGCAAGTATGATGGCTGGCAGGTAAAAGTACGGTACGGAAAATGTATTTGACTATATATAACTATAACATTCGCCATTACCTTTAGTTACGGCACATTTCAATCCAACTAAAAAACCAACAAAAACCATTGTTACCACGTCTTCAAAACGTTGAATATGAAGGCACTGCTTGCTTGGATCGTGTTACTGTACCTCAATCAGTCAAGTACAATTTTGCAGACTAACAAGATCGCACGTGAAGACCAACGAGTACAGTCACTTGGCGATCTATGGGTACTTATTGTTGAAAGCATAATTTTACGAAGAAAACAGTTACATGTCTTTGGATGGTCGAGATATACCTGGCCAATCTTTGAATTATGAAAATGAAAAAAACATTACATGGAAAGCGAAGGCTATTCCACATTTGGTACTCATTGTGCGGAGTTCAAAGCAGTGCCTCAAAAGGTTCTCTTCGAGCAACAGGGATTGGATTCACTGCGCAAAGCGTGTACTTTACAGTTTCAAAATAACTATAATAATATGCCAATAGCATGTATAGGTATACTATGTACCGCAAATTTATAAATTCTTGCAAATCCTCTATACTGTTATTAATATGCCATATAACATTTTTAATAAGAGATACTATGCTATGAGTGTCGCCAATTTAAAAAAGCGCCGCTCAATCAGTGTGGCCTGCAGCGGAACTTAATGGCCGATATGCGCAAGTAGGATGATTGTTCTCTAACTTTAACTTTATGTATTTAGTAACGACACAATCCATAACCACTGAAGAGCCAACAACGACCATTAATACTACCAGTCCAATACCTCCAACAACAAATATACTTACAACTGAACAAGGTAAATATTACAAATAAATAACTACACTAAACATTTCAACTGAAACGACGACCATTGTCATCACTATTTCAGTCCACGATAATAATACACATATTAGGCTGATGCAAGGATGAAAGCCTTTTTTTATTTGTAAGTAATGTTCGGAAACAGTACAGTGCAGGTAATATATTGCGATCACTGACTATTACACTCATACAGTGCCTTTAGTTACGACACCTTTCCTTTCAACTCAAGAACCAACAACGACCATTGTTACTACTACTTCAGAAACTATAACTACAAATGTACCCACAACTGAACCAGGTAAATAATACAAAGATAACTTAAAGATTATTGTTTGTATTAAGACTTAGTGTGCCTTTATATTGCAGTGTGCTAGGATTACGATAAAATGATAAAACCCTAATAAACGACCTAGTATTTATTGCTTCCAGGCAATACACCTAATTCTACCGAAGAACTAAAAACTAACATTGTCACTTCCAGTTTAACAACTACAACTGAGCAAGGTGAATAGTATTAATATAATAATAAACAGTTTTAGTATAAAAAATAGTTACGAAACACAGAAATCATTTTATACGTGAGTGACCATTCGGGTTAGCGAGGTGTAATATGGTATAGGTGCACATGTCTATGTTATGTCTTAAGTTAATACACAATCAATTTCCACTGACAGATACCAACCACGTCATACTGTCTCTACTGATTCTGTCCCATCAACTACAAATATAACAATATAATGATTCATGCGTATCTGCAAAAAAACATTCCAACAGATGTTGACTGTAGATACAATGATATTGTTCCATACTGTTCTTTATTCACATGCGTATAATGACATAAACTACACCACACACTACTGGAGAACTAACGCCGACAATTATATCCACATGCCACTAACTACAAATGAAGTCACAACACAGCCAGTGCTGGCTTCATTGCATGAGTCATTGTGGTTATCAGATAGTAATTTGTTATAGCCAAAGTATGATGGTTCTATATTCATTACTTTATACGACCAATGTCACTAACAGCTTAGCACCAGTATGTGAGTGATCACTTCGGTTAGTTTGTGGAATGATGGCATAAATACTGTGTGATCGTGTGCTTTCTTTTACTTTATTATTTAGTTACTACACAATCAATTTCGACTGACAAACCAGGGACGACCATTGTCACTACTACTTCAGTCCAACCAACGACAAATGAAGTCACATCTGTACCAGGTAATTAGCAAAAAATATTAGCATAACGCAAGAATGCATTGTTCCAATAAGCTTATTTAATGCGGAGTAAGAATGTCGAATGCCAGGTAACAACACGGTGTGTGTAATATAGTATATTCACTGACCAATGTATTGTTCATTGCCTTTAGTTACGACAACTTTCCTTTCAACTGAACAACCAACAACTACCACTGTTACAACTACTTCAGTCCCACCAACTAAAAATGTGCTGACAACTGAATCAGGTAATTAATACAAATATTATGATAATACAATGATACGTTGTTACAATAAATAAGATAATAAATAACTACTGAAAGCCGTTTTTATATGAGTAAGTATGTACATCAGCCCCGTCAACTACAAATGTAACCACAACTGAGCCAGGTAAATAGTATTATTGTTTTCAAGTATGTCAAAATTGCCTATCTAGTCGTTACTTTATGTATTTAGTTACCACACAATCAATTTCCACTAAAAAACGAAATACGATTATCATCAATACTTACATCAGCACCATTAATTTATAATTGCAGTCACAACTGAACTGGAAAAGTAAATTGAATATATGAAATATTCAAGTTTAAGTTTGTAATACACTTCAGTGCGCCAGTATAATATAGTGTGCTAAGATTAGGATAAGACGATGGAACCATAGTTAGTGAGTTATATTGTCTTGCTTATGATCAACGAACATTGTCACTATAACATCAGCACCACCAAGCGCAAAAGCACTTACAGATGCACCAGGTAAATGACATGAATACAGATGTTATGATGTAATTGTTTCTCTTCAATTGGATCATTGCAGTGTGCTTTGTCATTTACCTGTCTCTCATATGCGGACTGAGAAAATCATCACCACTAAAATATTGTGAATAGTTTCTTAGCATAATAAAATATATAGTATTCATTAAGCTAAACACCATATTTGATGCTGTATTCATTTTAGGAACGCCACATATTGATGTCAACTGTGACAGATATAACGTGATTTCCGACAAACGGACGTGGCATGCAGCTAAAGATCATTGTGAGTCAATTGGAGGAGTGCTGGCTTCATTACATACTCAGTCGGTATTCCAAAACGTTCGGACATTTATCATGAATAGTAATTTCGATAACGGTGTGCGTGGGTATTGGATAGGGCTTAATGACCTGTCTACTGAAGGTTCATTTGAATGGTTAAATGGAGATGCACTTGGATGGACAGCATGGGCGACAGGAGAGCCAAATAATAGCATTCTACAATCCGTTGATGGACAAGACTGTGTACAAGTGTGGTAAGCTTCCAACATTTCGAGGAGTGAAACACATTTTAATGTAAAAAAACATTTTCTATATTATAAAAAGTGCTTTGGACAATGTAACAATATGGGGAGAGCGGTACAAAAAAGAAAATAATTTCACATGTGTCGCATACGACTTGTTTACCACTTCCGTGTGACTGAGAATGTTCTAGAACCGTACTGTGTCTGGGTGGAATTTTTAGAAGCTGGTTGAATAGGTAATAGAACACTGTGGAAGGCAATAGAAGGTAATGGAACATTCTAGAAATTTGTAGTAAATTCCAGACTCATTATGTATGCTGATGATTTATAGACAGTGGTGGTATATATAGGGGAGTTGTTCAGCACTGAGATCGGATCGGAGATCTCGTTGACTTGTATTGGAGTTTAAGTATCTAGTTATTGGAGTAGTGGAGTTTTACCGCGTTATTGTACTTGATGTCTGCAGAGTATAATAATACCAGTACCAGTTTAAACCTCATCTTTTGGCTCCGTGTTCGTATTTTATCATCGCCGCCAGGGAAGTCTTTTTGTTACTGTTGCCATTTTGGTATTTGAACCATCACACCTGTACTGTACCAATTACGGTAATATTATGTTACGTGTGACAACATGTCCTCCAACGAAAAATGTGAATAATTTTATACACAATTTGTAAATGCAAACTGCATTTTTCAATTCATAATTATTCCCACTTTATTCACACATTGTGTTTGAGAAAGCTATAACTTGCGCAATTTCACAATAATTTTATTTACTATTTAACTAATATTGAACAATATAATATCGATTTGTAAAACATGAAAATACTGTATTTATTTCAGGAAGAAGCGCACATATAAGTGGGATGATAACTACTGCCATGCAAAACGTGGATATATATGCCAAACACTCATTCGTAAGTGTGTTGTTAAAATAATAATTATAGCAATATTATATAATTATCCTTGTCACCATTATATTGACAACAAGTCTACACCAACCTGAAACCGACCTTGAAACATACATTTTCATAATTTCAGCCGGTTGCTCCGTTTCCACAGAAGTAGCACCAATCACATTAATGGACAGTTCTACTGAATCAGGTAAACATCTAAGACTTCCGTCCTTATTTTGTATTTTAAAATTACTTGCGATATTGTGTGTATATATTATATCTGCATTAAAAACATAAACAATGCAAACATTTAACTGCATGGATGTGTGGTTTATGTTCAATGCCGTAAATATACGTTAAACCAATTATTAATTTAACATTTTAAAATTATCCCGCAACTAGTGTATCTCTTGAATTCTTTCGTGTATGCTCACTTGAATATGTTGAGGTTGCATTGATTTTTCAACTTCATGGAATTTCCTTTAAATTTGTGATTAAGCGTTTTATTTAATAAATAACAAATTAGAAAAAGTATGCACGATTGTGAACTATACCTTGATTTTTATTTCTATCGAAGAAACAACAATGACCATTGTCACCTCTACTTCAGTCACACCAACTATAAATACACTTACAAGTGGACAAGGTAAATATTACAAAAAAGTATATGAAACAGATTTTTTATGAGCAGTCATTATTAGATAGCAATGTATTATAGCCAAAGTATGGTGGTTCTCTGTTCATTACTTTATGTATTTAGTAATTAGACAACTTGTTTCTACCGAAGAACCAACAGTTTAACTCCTCCAACTACAACTGAACTTCAACTGGTAAATAAATTTCAGTGTTGAAAAAGGTTATGAAGCACTCCAAAAAGTTCATACGTGTAAGATCACTTGGGTTAGTTTGTGGAATTGTGACATAAATACTGTGTGATAAAGTGCTTTCTTATACTTTATGCATTTAGTTACTACACAATCAATTTCCACTGAAGAACCAACAACGAGCATTGTCACTACTACTTCAGTCCCGCCAACTACAAATGAGGTAACATTTGTACCAGGTAATTAGCGCAAATAATTAAAAGCTCTTTTTTATATGACCGTCAAGTAATAACACGGTGTTGTTTTAATGACTATTACATTAGTCATTGTCGTTAATTCCGACTGATTTCCATTCAACTGAACAACCAAAAACTACCCCTACTTTGGCCCAACCAATTACATATGTTCTCACAACTGGGCCAGGTAGATATTATGAAAACACATGATGTAATTGTTTCTCCCATAATACATCATATGTAGTGTTTTTAGTTACCTGTCGCGCATACGCTGGATGAAAAATGCGATCGTTTCAAAGTATATTTTATTGTAGCAAAATAGGTCTAAATATGTAATAATATAATGACCCATGCTCATCTTCATGGGGCATTGGAACAGATGTTGATTACAGGAACAATGATATTGTTCCTCACATTATTCACATGCGTATAATGACAGAAACTACAACCCATACAACTTCTGGAGAGCTAACAACATTCATTGTCACCTCTATTTCAGTTTCAACGACTACAAATGTAGCCGCAATTGAGCAAATTGAATAGTAGGATCACATACAATTATTATCACAGAAGTGTGATATTTAGTAGTGTGTAGAGTTTAAAATGCACTTATAGTATTCGCAACTTTTCGTTGTATTGGCATCAAAAATTACACCGCTTATTCCTACATATAAAACAAAAATGACCATTGTCTCTACAACTTCAGATCAAATTAGTTCAAAATGTATATATCCATATAATGTGAATTGTACGATTACATAAAATGACATATACATATATTTGATTTAAATTGTTCACCATTGTTATGGTAAACGTGGCAGTATGCAGAGTGTATAATGTAATTATTTTATTCTCCATTTCTTATATGTTCTATTACATGAAGTCACTAAATCCCATATTTCTACTGAAGAATCAACAACGACCATTGTCAACACTACTTTAGTCCCACCAATTACAAATGAAGTCACAACCATGCAAGGTAATTGTCACGATTACAATCAATTATATATTATTACATAATTGTTCAATTATGTTGTGTATGAAATGCAGTTATTCTTATCTCTGATTTATTTGTTGCATTACATTTAGTCACAACTGAGCAAAATAAATAGTACGACTATATAATGACTATATAATGTCCGTTGAACTTAAATAAACTAATATAACAACTTAACTTTGTTTTAACACATCCACCATTATTATGACAAGAGTGACAGAAAGCAGGGCATTCTCGATAAATTACACCAACGCACACTTATGGTCCCATAATAAAATTTATAATGTATGGTCAAAAAAACCTTAAATATATAACCATGCTCACAATCAACTGGTCAGTACTCGTTCGCTTAGCCAATACATATTTCTATTAAAATAGCTAAGGACGACAAATTTCACTAAAAACTTGACTTCGCTTGATGGACTGTGATAAAAGTATAACCCCCCCCCTTTATTGCCTACTCATGCGACGTCATCTTGCAGTCGTGAATATTCGTATAGTTATGTCTGTACAAAGATTCACTCATCGAAGACGTTACAGCAGTTGGTATGATGGGTGAATTATACATAATTGACGTAAATGTTAACAAACAATGAAATAACTGTTACTTTTAATTTTAACTTAGTCACGTCAAAATATATTTCTACTTAAATTGTTTACCATTATGTGTGTAATACATCAAAAGCCATTATTTTATTTCCTGACTTTTATGTTACATTACTTTCAGTCACTACACCACATATTTCCACCGAAGAACCAACAACGTTCATTGTCACGACAGCATCAGTCCCACCAACTACAAATGTAGTCACAACTGATCATAGTAACAAGTTCCCATAATTGTCTTAAAATTATTTTACTATTAATACATGTGACAGTATGTATTGTATAAAATGCAATTATACAACTGCATTATAGCATAACGAAAAAGTATACACGTCTTTGCACTAACCCTTGATTGTTATACATCAGTACCTACACAATTCATAACCACCAAAGAACCAACAACGACCATTGTCAGCACTACTTTAGTCCTACCAACTACAAATGTACTTAGAACTGAACAGGGTAAATATTTACATTAAATAAAATAACAAAAAATGTGTTGAAAATAGTTATAAAGCATACAAAGTAGTCACTTTGGTTTAATTTGTGGAATGATACATAAATACTGTGTGATCATGTTCTTTCTTTTACTTCATGTATCAATCAATTCCCACTGAAGAACCAGGGACGACCATTGTCACTAATTCAGTCCAACAAACTACAAATGAAGTCACATCTGTACCAGGTAATTAGAATAAATATTAAAAAACGCAATGATCGTTGTTCCAATAAGGTACGAACAATTGTAAGCTTATTTAATATGAGTAAGAATGTCAAATGTCAGGTAACAATGAGGTTTATGTAATATAGTATATTCACTGACTATTACATTGCTCATGCTCGCCAGTTATGATAACTTTCCTTTCAACTAAAAAACCAACAAGTACTTCAGTCCCACAACTGTGTCAGGCAATTAATAAAAAATATTATTACAATACAATGATACATTGTTACAATAAATAACAAACTGAAAGCTATTATATATAAGTAAGTATGTTGAATGTCAAGTAATAACACGGCCTAAGCAGTATGTTATTTTTACTGACTTTTACAGTCGTCATTGTGACGACTGTGACAGAAACTACACCCCATAATACTACTGCAGGCCTAACAACATCCATTATCACCACAACTTCAGTCCCATCAACTACAAATGTAGTCACAAATGAGCAAGTTATCTATTTCATTATTTTTTTTAAATAATTTATTATTAATATAATACATGTGACAGTATATAATGTACAAAATGTGACAATTATAAACTGGTGTATTTGTGTTCGCCGTGTTGGAGGTAACGTGGCGGTATTCTGAGTGTTATTTATTTATTCACTGATTATTATATGTTCTGTTATATTAAGTCACTACATCCCATATATCTACTGAAAAACCAACAACGACCATTGTTACCACTTCTTCAGTCCCACCAACCACAGATGAAGTTACAACAGAGCAAGGTAAACATTACGATTGCATGCAATGATATATTATTCCTCGATTATTACATGTTCTATAACATTTAGTCACTACAGTAAATGTACGATTGATTGTGGTACTATGTCGTGTATTAAATGCAATTCTTCCTATCTGAGCAATGTAAATCGTAGAATTGCATACAATGATATATCCATTTAACATTGAGAAACACTGATCAAGGTAAATAGTACGATTACATATAATGGTTCACGTTGTTTAATTTATTTGTGATAAATAAACTGACATATCCACTTAACTTTGTTTTAACTTATTATGGTTTCGATTATTGAATGGCAAGAGTGACAACAAGCATGGTGTACAATGTTTATTCCCGATAAGTTACATAAACGACGACAAATTTCACTGTATTATATATGTTAAAAATATAATACCCTTATTACTTACTCGTGTGACGTTATCGTGCAGTCGTGAATCTTAGTATAGCTATCGCCCGGGGGGGTATAGCTGCTATACAAGGATTCTCTCTTCGAAGACGTCATAACAGTTCATATGATGGGTGAATTATTCATAATTGACGTAAATGTCAACAAACAATGAAATAACTGTTTTATTTTGTCACTGCACTTAGTCACTACACAATACATTTCTACCGAAGAGCCAGCAACCTCCATTGTCATCACTACTTCAATCCCACTAACTACAAATGTAGTCACAACTGAGCAAGGTAACTATTTCATTAATTTGTTAAAATTGTTTACTATTAATATAACACATGTGGCAGTATGTAATGTGATTATTCTATTCACTGATCTTCATTTTTTTGTTCCTTTAGTTAATACACCGTATATGTCTACTGCAGAACCATCAACGACCATTGTCACCACAACTTCAATCCAATCAACTACAAATACAGCCACAACTGAGCAAGGTAAATATATAATTACATACAATAGTATGTTAACTTAACATTTATCTTATTATTTACGATTAATATCACAAATGTGACAGACACTATTTCCAAGTGTGTACTGTGTAAAATGCAATTATACTATTCCCTAACTTTTTGCTGCACTGTCACCAGAAATTCACCACTTATTCCAACTGAAAAAAACGACCATTGTGACTACAACTTCAGATCGACTAACTGCAAAGAATTCAAAAAATGAACAATGTAAATTGTACCGTTACATAAACTTATATTTACATATATATATATTTTTTTCAAATTGTTTACCATTAATATGGCAAGTGTGACAGTATGCAGAGTGTACAACGTAGTTATTTTATTTCCTGAGTATTATATGTTTTATTACACATAGTCACAACAGCATACATTTCTACTGAAGAACCAACGACGAGCATTGCCGCCACTACTTCAGTCCCACCAACTACAAATGTAGCAACAACTGAGCAAGGTAAATATCAGAATTGCACATTGTGATATACCTACTTAATATTCTTTAACTTATTCACCATTATTATGACAATAGTGACAGTAAACAGTGTACAATTTGAATATTGTATTCCTAGACTTTTATATGTTCTAATACATTTAGTTACATCACATTTACGATTATTTGTATGACTATGGCAGTATGTTGTGTGTAAAATGCAATTATTCATATCTCTGACTTTAGTTGCCACTTCACATATTTCTACCGACGAACCAACAACGTCCATCACCACTACTTCAGTCGCGCCAACTACAAATGTAGTCACAGCTGGGCAAGGTAAATAGTACATTGTTTAAATTGTCTACAATTAATATAAAATTATTGCAGTGTGTAATATATAAAATGAAATTATTATATTTGCTGACTTGTATTATTTCTGTTCCTTTAGTCACTACACCACATATTTCTACGGAAGAACAAAAAACATCAGCCCAACCAACTACAAATGTAGCCACAACTGAGCCAGGTAAATTGTATTATTGTTTTCAAGTATGTCAAATTTTCTATCGAGTCGTTACTTTATGTATTTGGTTACTACACAATCAATTTCCACTAAAAAAATAACGACTATTATCATCAATACTTACTTCAGCGCCATTAATTTAAAATGTACTTACAACTGTAATCTTCCTGTCCCTTTAGTAACTACACCGCATATTTCTACTGAAGATCAAAAAACGACTATCGTCACCACAGCACCAGCTCCACCAACTACAAATATAGCCACAACTCAGCCAGGTAAATTGTATTATTGTTTTCAAATATGTCAAATTGTCTATATTTATCCACCATATATTGACAACATCTTTTATCAGATATCATTTTTATGTATCGTACGAGACGTTTTCTGTATAACAAGATATCCCGATAACATTTAGTATGTTTACATTATGATTATTCTAGTCAAATGATTCTAGTCACTAAACCACGTAATTCTTCTGCAGAGCCAGCACCGACCACTGGTTGTACTCCATCAGGTCCACCAATAACAACAGGTATTCATTATATTGTTCTGTTGAAACCCAGCAATATGATAAAATCTACTTTGCACTTCATTTATTTCCCACACTAATATATGTTTTGTTAAGGTTTCCCGTATATTGACGTAAACTGTGAACGATACCATATTATCGCCAATAAACACACGTGGCATGCATCTAAAGGTCAATGTGAAGATATTGGTGGAGTCCTTGCCTCAATAAATACACAACCGATTTTCAAGGCAGTACGTCAATTTATCATGAATGGTAATTTTGATAATAGTATCCGTGGTTATTGGATTGGACTTAATGATATCACAACAGAAGGTTCATTCGAATGGTTGAATGGAGACACCTTCGGATGGACAGCATGGGCTGCAGGACAACCAAATGATAACCACCAACAAAGTAGTAGTGGAGAAGACTGTGTACAATTGTGGTAAGATTGTGATATTTCATACGCCACTGAATACTCGTCAAAATGAGTATTTAAAGTGCATACCTATTTAGCCAATGTGTATAGGTAACTGACCACAAATATAAACAACACTTATATGGGTATTATATTGTGGTCTATAATATAACACAACAAAACATACAATTTCAGACTTAACTAACGACAATATTAAGAAAATATAACACTACTGGTCTAAAGGAATACCTCAATTGATATTTCAGTCTATTATTTAATACGCAGTTTCTATATCGCCATATGCATACTGTAAGAACGAATTTAAATCCACGCAACATCACAAAGTGTAATTAAATTCACATTCCGGATAGAAATTTAATCTTGCTTCAATTTTTTTGTGTTTTTTTCCCAGGAAAAAGAAATCCTACAAGTGGGATGATAATTACTGCCATAGAAAGTTAGGTTATATTTGCCAAACTGCCATCCGTGAGTATTTTGTAAAATGTCACGGAAAATCATTTAATTTGTCTCGTCATTGTTACATTGCAGTCGAATCAAATTGTCATGTTTACATACATCTTTAATGCAATATCCATCTTTAATCCAATTATATTGTTTTCAAACATTTCAGAATGTTGCCAAGTTTCCATGGAAACAAAACCCAACATCAGCTGAACAAGGTAAATTTATCATGTAGCCAAATGTAGCGAAAATTTGGTCTAAAATCTTGTCTTCGCCTGAGGGACTGTATTTCGCATGTAATATATATATATATATATATATATATATATATATATATATAGGAAGGTAGTCGATTATTCCAGGTGAGAGTGCTCAATACTAAACGATGAGTTTGTAGAGCAGATTTACATACGTGGACAGAGAAATTAAGACACGACTACATGAGTAAAGTTCACTCTACAGTACTGTTTCGTAAGGTACATGGAGTACCTCACTCATCAGGAGTTAAGACTTTATTAAATAAACCACCGAAACAGACTACGTTATAAGTGCTACAGATTTGCATAACAATGGAGTGTGTTTACGATATTAAAACTAGTTGTTGCATAGCAACGATTTGGCTCTGTGTCTACAGGAAGAAAAAAGCTCATTTCTTTTATTTAAACTACAGTAATGTGGTTGGAAAATTATAATATATTTCTCTCTAATACATAAGTTGCAACGTTTGCTTGAAGTATTGTATGGTGCAGCACGCGATAACACTCTCCATTTGATGTCGTAATCGATGTTATTGTCTTTTAATGACCAAGCGTATTTACTGAGCTCTGTTGCTATATATATATAATCTTTCATTCCTCACTCGTGTGACATCATCTTCCACTCGTCACATCAGTTCATAATGCGGGTGAATTTCAGATAACTATCGTATATTCTCAACCATCAAGGAATGATTTTTACTTTTATCTTAAACTTAGTCACTACACCCTATATTTCCACTGAACAACCGACAACTACCATAGCCACTACTACGTCAGTCCCACCAACTACAAATGTAATAACAACTGAGCAAGGTAAATATAATAATTTCAAAATATAACAAAGTTATACTATAATTTTGGTTTGTAGCCAAGTCATGCTTGTGCTCTGTTTTTTTTTCTGTATTTAGTTACCACACAAGCCATTTCCACTGAAGAACCAGTGACGACCATTGTTTCTACTACTTCAGCACCAACTACAAATGTATTTACAACTGCGTCAGGTAAATAACACGTTTGAATTCACTCACCATAATACGACTTTATCTTAAACTTAGTTACTACACAATCTATTTCCACTGAAGAACCAACAACGACCATTGCCACTACTACATCAGTCCCACCAACTACAAATTTAATTACAACTGAGCGAGAGGAATATCACAATTTCATTACATAAAAACGTTATACTGTAATTTTGGTAGTTTGCTAAGTATGATTGCGCTCTGTTTCTTTCTGTATTTAGTTACCAAACAAGCCATTTCCACTGAAGAACCAGTGACGACTATTGTTTCTACTACTTCAGCACCAACTACAAATATATTGACAACTGAGTCAGGTAAATAACACGTTTGCATTCCAAGAAGAGTCAGAGCTCTACTATTTGCTAATTTGCATCTTTGCACTTATTTCACATGTCACAAAGTTTAGCAAGACCCTGAAAAAAATGGTATGCACTCATTAAGGTTCCCCGTAGTGGAACTGCAATAACAGTTCATGCACTTATATTACCATCTATGGTTGTGGCTTGTCGTTCACCGGCAGTACAGGTTATGCAATGCGTAAAAAACCGTATAAGCACATTGAAGTCCGTAATCTGCTAGTAAATTTTATGCTGGTATGCATTTTGTATTGACATGCTGCATTAGATATAATGAATTCCTAGTAATACGGGAAATAGAAGAAACTATTTACGGTGTTATGTGTGATACTGGGGGCGCATTCATGTCTTTATTTCGATGTTTGATGATGAAGCAGTATTTTTGAGCCATCGTCATTGATGAATTCGTCATAATTGTTTGTCATGACATATTTCAGTTTGTCAATTTTGTTTTTATCATTTAACTTTGATATATTTATGGCATGTTTCTCCTTGAAGGATGTATTCGGTATCATGTGGTATCAAGTAAGAAGACATGGCAGCAATCCAAGAGCGAATGTGAAAACATTGGCGGGGTGCTCGCGTCATTGCATACACAGGCTATTTTCCAGGCTGTTCGTTCATTTATTTTGAATGGTAATTTTGATGGTAAGGTGAAAGGTTATTGGATCGGCCTTAATGATCTTAATAATGAAGGTTCGTTTGAATGGTTGAATGGAGAGCCATTCGACTGGACTAGGTGGGCGAATAAACAACCGAACGACAATAATCAAGGCAGCTCTGGAGGTCAAGACTGCGTACAGTTATGGTGTGTATTTACATTTAAAATTTACAATATGGTTCCAATAATCACATTTACGAATAATATGACAGTAATTATCCATAATTAACTTCGCTTGTGAACAAGCAGAATTGTGAGTAAATATATCGCCATCCACCCAGTTATTGGAGCATGGTAATCATTTATTTGTTTATAATGTAATTCTTCATGTGTATCGTAGGAAAAAGACTAGTTACACATGGGACGATAACTCCTGCCACCAGAAGCGAGGATACGTATGTCAGACTTCCATTTGTAAGTGAACTTGATATGCATTCGAAGAAATAATATGTGCATCGTCAGAAAGTGATTATTTTATTCAGTATTAGCATTTTCGAAGGGATACGTGTAAAATAAACAATTATTGAAAAAAAATAGCTTCAGTACATACACAAGTGGCTATTCATTGCATTAAAATATAATGAACTTGGCAATTTCGCGTTTAGTTTTAATTCCAATAAAGCTTATAAGAATCACTGTAAAAGTATAAATTATTATTCTATAGTAGCGCACAAGTTTATGTTCACAGGTAAATATATGGAATGCCTGGTTTTTGATATTGTATCATTCTTTTTTTCAGCAACTTGTCCTGATGAGATTATACAGGGATAGAACAACTGACAGTTAACTGGTTGTCGACAAGTTACATTCACACCGCAAAAAATATTATATGTAATAGGTTTTGATACATTTGAATATTGTTAAGGTGTATGCCTGTAGATCTATTTTGACATGCTCACACGATTCTATTTTATTAACGTATAGTTGTTATTTCCAATTCGATTAGATTTGACATAATACTAATAATGACATAATGATAATAATAGTGTGTGTTCTGCCTAATAGAGCACATAATAGTGATTAGTACAAGTTTTATTTTGAAAACTATAGTAGTATAAATCAGTGAGATGAAATGTATATAGTGACGTGGTCATAGCACAGTAACAGTGTCTACATTGTTAAACATATATATAGATATATAACATATTTACATGTATTTACTAATGTTAGCATCTATGCACTAAGAACTCATAATTTTAAGGGGAATGAAAAGTCAAATGTTGATCAGTGTTATCATAAAACTAGCATATAGCACTTACTTAAGTATTAATAATATTTATAATCTACTAAAATCACAATCAAGTCACAGAATAATTATATTATAGCACAATGTGTTATTTGGGGGAATTATGTTATTGGATATAGTGACTGTTCAATTATAATTAAGGTAGATAGCAGTAAATGAATGATCATTATTAATTAATAATCAATGCTTTTCTTTAAAACATTCTTTATAATTTATATAGCATATAATAACATCACGCATTAGTGTGTGTGGCTGTACTTGCTACAGGGATTAAATTACCGAACTAGAAAAATAAAAGTTGTTTTCACAACCAGAGCTGTTGTTGCGTATTCAGGTATACTGCATTACCCAAACTGTCACGCTTGGTACTAGGGTTATGACAAATAGGTAACAATAATGTATCTGAAATTAATGGACACCTAGTTATTATTCACTGCATCAAATTATAGACCTTGAATGCAAATTTCAGTTTATATATCATTTGAATGAAGGAGTGACTAAACTTGTTTATTCCATCTAAAAGTCTTTCCCTTCGTTATCTCTACTGTTACAAATTCCATCCACTGTTCCTTTCAAAAATCATGGTAATATAGATCAGAGGAACTCAGTCACCACTCAGGATTCATTAGCTCAATACCTTGAAAAAGCACTGTGAATAAGTTAGTACTTGCAGGATGAATGAACAACCGCAAACGACTCACCTTGTGAAAAAAGACTTAGATTTGTATGCGATTAACAGCGTGAAGCAAACATATGCAGTTTAAGAGGGGTTGTGTGTGAGATATATCAGATGGGATTAGAGGGTATAATGCTATGGGGCATTCCAGTCATCAAGTAAAACTATGAAAGACCTCCAATTGGCACAATTTCCTTCATAGCTGAAAACTACCCCCACTGCATTCATTAATGTTAATCGTCTGCTACCATAATACAAGTTGTCCCAGGGATATTTCTAAGAATATTTGTCCCAGGGATATTTCTAAGAATATTTATCAAACAAATACCTCCGTGATTATCAATCAAACAAAGGACATTTTCTAGAGAATTCTGTATGACCTATTTTTGGTTGTACTGTGTATTTTGTGAACATAATTAAATTTCTAGTGGTGGTTTAAATATAACAGAAACACGTGAATAATCCAACATGAAGAAATATGTCATATCCCATCAAATCAACCCAAATAAATTCTTGTTTACTGGGGCTTATATTAGACCACTGTTCGCAGATGTTGTAGATGAAAGGAATTTTATTAAAACGCATTGTAAATTACAACAATCACTGCTAATCTAGTATGTGTGAGCACTGTACACATTAATGCAATTGTTTACATGTATGATGACTTAAGTCTTTACTGAAAGGTTTATCAAAACAAAGCTCAATAAAAGATGCATATACAAAAGGTTACTAGAAAAGCCCAATTATACACTCAAGATGCTGCATAACACCCATCTAACAAAATATCTCCAAATTATCGTTTTTCAGGTGATTGAGATTTAGTCTGACAAACTACAAAACAAGGTTCGAACACAATTTAATATTGTATAAGATGTAAATAAGTATCATTGATTAAAACAAATCAAAATGTTCATGTCAGTTATACCAAACGTGCCTGCTTTATACTATGAATTAACTTAAATATTATTTAACAAAACAAACGAACTATCTGCAGTGTAGTAAACTACATCAAAAAGTAAATTCGTATGAACATGGTAAACACATGTTTTTTCAAGAAAGCCCTTGATATCTTCCAGATGTCCCCTGACTTACTTGGTACATACTGCCCAATAATTACAACCATAACAGGAAAGTATATTATATTAAATCATTTGTGCATCTGTAAATGTCTCTTTACTTTATTTGTAGTGAAAAAAGCTTTACCACAAACAGGACAATGATGATTTCGCTCCTGTTGATGAACGATTCTAACATGCACCCCCATAGCTGCACGAGTTTTAAAAGTCTTATCACAGATTTGGCAACTGTATGGCCTTGCATCCGGTTCAGTGTGCATAGTTCGCATGTGTGTTTGTACCATCTGTTTTGATGTATAAGCTTTCCCACAAATATGACACAAATGCTTTATTTTCTCATGCACGGATCTTTGATGTTTCTTCAGGTTACCAACAGTTGTGAGCAATTTACCGCAATCAGAGCATTGGTGCTTGCTAACCTTAGTTGGATCACGATGTTGTCGTTGGTGCAATTTCAATGTTTTCTCACTTTTGAAGAAACCGCCACACACGTGACACAGAACAGGTTTTCTTTTCGTGTGTATCAAACAATGCTCTTGGAAAGTATCTTTGCGTAAAAACACTTTGTTACAAACGGGGCATGTGTAAGCTTTTTGGTACTTGTGTTTTTTGACATGGGCGATATGACAGGTTCTTCTGCTGAATTCTTTCCCACACAATTCGCATCTATATTTTGTAGTTTTATGGTCATTGATGTGATGTTCATTTCGCAGAATTCGTGTTGCAAATATTTCTCCGCACTCCTCACATTTGACACTGCCAGGTTGAGGTTCCAAACCTGTGTGAGTGTTCTCGTGCAGTCTGAGATCATAGCTATGTCCAAGTGATTTCCAACAGAATTTGCAATTGAATGGTGATGTCTCTTGAGATTCAAAATACCCATTGCATCCATCACATTGATACTGTAGTTTCCCCATTGCATCTGTATGTGTTGATAGTGTTTTAAGACTGTCAAATTTTTTGTCGCAATGGATGCAGCTTTGTTTGCAGTGTTGTCTGTATTTATGTTGCTGTAGCTTTATTTTGCCAGGATATCTTTTATCACAAATGCTGCATTTCCAAGTCAGATCGCTATGGCAATTATATATATGGCCATTTAATGCATATGTATTTTGGAAGCCTTTGTCACAGGTGATGCATTTGTATTGGTTTGCCTGTGCTTCACTATTTCTAGATTCATAATTGACATGAGATTCATTTTCAATACCTGCAGACTTGTGCATATTTATGTGTATTTTGAGTTCGGTCTTGCATGTAAATGACTTCCAGCAAATTTGACAATTGAATGGTGAGGTTTCTTGGGGTTCAAAATACTCATTACATCCATCACATTGATACTGTAGTTTTCCTGTTCCATCGTCCTGTGTTGTCAAGCGCTTGAGACAATCAAACTGCTTGTCACAGTGCTGACATTTCTGCTTGCAGTGATGTCTATAATTGTGTTGTTGAAGTTTTGCTTTTCGTGGATAACTCGTATCACAAATATTGCATTTCCAAGTTTGGTTGCTATGACAATTTCGTACATGGCCATTTAATGTCTTTGCATTTTTAAAAACTATATCACATTGCTGGCATTGGTATGATTTTAATTCCCTCTCACCTTCAGAATGATCAATATCAAGCTCTTGTCGTCGTTTACTGTGTGTGATTTGGTGCAATTTGAGTTCTGCCATATATCCAAATGATTTCCAACACATTTTACAATTGAATGGTGATGTTACTTGTGGTTCAAAATATCCATTGCATCCATCACATTCATACAGTAATATTCCTTTTGCGTCTTTATTTGTTGATAGATGTTTTAGACTGTCAAACTCCTTGTCACAATGCTGACATTTTTGCTTGCAGTGAAGCCTGTATTTGTGGTGTTGAAGTTTTGCTTTCCGTGGAAAACTCGTATCACAAACATTGCATTTCCAAGATTGGTCATTATGGCAATTTTTAACATGTACATTTAATGTGCTTAATGCATTAAAAAACTTGAAGCAAATACTACATCTGTGTTTCCGTCTACGTGCTGCTTTTAAACCAATGGATTTTATTGTTTTCTGAGTTTCATCCTTTTGACTTGTGTCTATCAAAGTGATATTACTCTCACAATATTCACCGCTACTGGCAGTCCCATCAGCTACCTCACCATCTTCATCTGAACTCTCGCCATTTGCATGTGGATTGTATGTATTCATAAAGACATTCCCCTCTGTTTCGGAGTTTACCAGTCCTTCATTATTACTTCTTACATCAACACCTTCAAAGCTGAGAGTTGATTCACCAGTGTTTTGGCTGCTGGTTCTTTCACAAACCATGTTCATATCTTCTTTGCTATCAGTGATCATTTGCTTGCAATTCTGATCTTCATGATCATAATCATTTTGATCACTCACATTTACTTGGTTGTTCCATGTCAATTCCTCGGGCCCATGCACAGATGTTTGTAAATCTTGTTTCTCTTGCATTTCGTTGATTATTTTTTCACAACTTTTACCCAAGGAAACCACTTCAAAGTGATCTGCAACATTTTTGAGCTTTTTAACATCCTTGATAGGCATTCTCAATTCACCGCAGTAAGTAAAATCAATGAACAGCTTGAGCATATCGGCATCAACATCATGAATCTCTAGTGAGATTATATTGGGTTGACTTTTGAATGTCTCTGCACAAACTGGACTACAGCTTGCCAAGACAGCTTGGTGACATGGATATTGCTCACTGCCAGCACACAGTGTGATATCAGTAAACACATTCTCTTTTCTCTGTTCATTCAGTCTTTGCAGGAAGTGTTTTGCATAATCTGGTTCTGATAATAACACTGCCACATCAGACATCAAATTGCATTCCATTTTGTACTACAGATACATCCGTCTAAAAGAAAGATTAAACATCATGTCACACTAAATATAGTTTTACACTTCTGGTAAGGCAATTTGACAACATTAAATAAGGGTTCATAAATTTGATCTTGCACTGAAATATAATTAGAGGTTCTTGACACTAAAAATTATCTAATAATTGGGTAATTAATATGCAATGATGCAACCATAGTGATATGTAAGTATTATAACTCCCAAACCACTGTGGTAAAAGGTTTTATAAGTTATGGGATGTCAGAAAGTTGTCTAATTTATGCAAATTAGGTGAACAATATGCATGGGCTTCATCTCTAAAATAAACAGGTCAGTGGGTTACTTTATATCATCTACATGTATACCTAAAGTTTTATTAAAATCTGATGAATGGTACTTGATTCACATAATTTATGTAAATTTCGTACTTAATATGCATGGTTTCAGCATGAAAGGTTTGTGAATTACCCGAGGGCGTCTACAAGTTTAATTGAAATCTGATGAGTGGGACAATCATGATAACTGCAAAGAGTACCAATTGCATGCCTCCCACATGGGAGTCATAAACACGCAGAGAATCGTTACATACAATGTTTCAGCATGCACTCCACATCCACTCCTTATTATACTGCCATGTCCATGGACAAATAAACAGGCCCCAATGGTTACATAGATTCTACGTCATTTAAACAATATGTACATTTAGTTTGTTGGCAGAAGGCCGTCAAAATTATCACCTTGCCAACATTCACTCTTACTTATTGAATAACATTTCCCATGATTCTTTGGTGCAATCCTGGTGTTTGCAGAACCTCAGTTTAATAACATGTGAACTATAACTATATCTCTGAATACAAAAAAAAAGAGAAAAACAATTCTGCGTCTGCAACTCAAAATCTATTATCATCAGCCCAAAATAATTAATAAATTAAAAACTTAAATAAAGATAATAAATTAAAAAAGAATTAAATAAATGACTAAAAAAATACATTTCAAGATCTTTTTAAAGAGATTGTTTAAATATCACCTATGGGAATTCTAAAGGAACTTTTTCACTCACATCACCACGATGACTATCACAAAGTGGTTTGTAAGATTATAAGAAATGAATTACTGTCTGTCATACACAAAATATTTAACTATATTATCTATTATACTGACTTTGCGACATTTGGTCTCAGGAGTGAGGTTGACCATTAAATAATTACATAAATAAACATCTCAGGTATGATGAATAATTTATTCCTTACAAATACAATCCAAACACTTTGTGACAATAACAACATAATACAATCTGTGAAAGATTAGATAAAAAGCCTCATCTATTTTCGTCAAGAAAAAGAAAATTATAAAGCCCAAACTAGAATCTTATTTTTAATCTAAATGTCCTTTACATACATGTTTGAAGCAATTTGTGCTATATCCATGTACTAAGTTATGATATTTGCAAGATTCATAAGAAGTTCAAATTACCAAAAACATCTGTAGAATCATTTGTTATTCACAGAACATGTGCATTTTTGTGTAACTAAATGTTACTACACATAGTGTGAGAACCATATCTCATGCAATGACAATGAGCACGTCATTTCAAGTAACCAGGGTATTAGGCAAGAATTTGAAAGTGCCTGTGAAATATATCACAAATTTCTGTTATTTGGCTATTTTGATCTAAAAAAAAAAATCTTATTATGGGCCCATTATGTTCAATGTATTCAAGAGTATCCGGCAAAAATGTATATGCGTTTGTTTGATATGTCTGATGAATGTGTGAAGTTTGAACTTGATTGGTCTCTAAGCATGGTGAATATAAGCATGATAAACTGCATTCTTTGAAACAAAATGCCCACCAAAATTTCGAACCCAATCCAAAAAATAAAATAGAGTGATCAAGCTCCCATAAGGTTCAACGTATGTACCAAGTTTGAACTCATCCATACACAACTGAGATCAAGTTCCAAAATGGTGAAAATGTTTTATCTTAAAATGGTTGCCAATCAGCCATCTTGAATCAGATCACAAAACAAATGCATGTACATATGTCAGATATAATTTATGATGTACGTGTGAAATTCCAACTTGCTTGGCCCAGGCATGTTAGATATATGAATCTGGAACTGCGATCTTTAAAACAAAATGGCCATCAGTCCATTTTGAACCCAATTCGAAATATAAAGTGTCAATCAAGGTCCTATTACGTTCAACATATGTACTAAGGTTGAACAGAATCTGTCAATGCACAAATGTGTGCTTTATAAGGCATTTTTGGCACTAAAATGGCTGCCAATTGGCCATCTTGAATCAGATTGTGGAACAAAAGCATTAAGCATGCGCACATATCCGATATAATTTATGATGTATGTGTTAAGTTTGAACTTGATCGGTCAAGGCATGTCAGATATATGGATCCAGAACTGCATTGTTAAAAACAAAATGGCCACTAGTCAGCCATTTCGAACTTGATCCAAAACGTAAAATGATGTGCATTAAGATCCTATTGTGTTCAATGTATTATGTGCCAAGTTTAAACCAAATCTGTCCACATACATGTACAACTGAGATTTGGTTCAGAATAGTGAAAATGTGTGATTTCGGCATTAAAATGGCTGCCAATAGACCATCTTGAATCGAATCATAAAACAAATGCATGTGCATGTGTTCGATATAATGTCTGGTGTATGTGGAAGATTGAACTTGTTTGGCCCAAGCATGTGAGAGATATGGCTTGACACAGTCGCAAGTAGGATGCACGAACTGAAGTCAATCCATAAGGCTCCATGTCAGACTTCGTCTGAATGCCCACAGGTCAGCCACATTCACTCTGATATGAAAAACAAAAAAACATGCATCAAGGTTAAGTCCAATGCCATTTTTAAACCAGGTCATAAAACAATTATACGTAATATGTATCGAACAATGTATGATGTGTGAAATTTGAATGTGATTGGCACCATCATATCCAAGAAAGGTGAGCACGCAGGCAGACATGCACACAGAACAATCCAATAAGTCAGCATTTCAGCCTGAATTCGAACTAAAACTGACAGATAACTGTCTAAATTTTTTTTTATACACTGCAAGTTACTCACTAACTTTAATATTTTCTGTTTGGAAACTATACAACAAAAGTTATGTTACAGTACTCTATACTTTATTCATAGCATACTGCACTACATATATAGTCAATGCCCCACAAAAATGTTTCCGTATTTTTCCATAATTTCTTTGCTTACATATTAATACGGTAACAGTCACTTTTTAAAAATTTGATAAATGTCTGTTGCGCATTTGCATGCAAACTTGTAAATTCAAAAATACTGTCAGAACCTTGAAAAGCAAATTATTTTTGTGTGTACATTTTTACAGCCTAGATGACCATTTTGAGGTCAGTAGTCAGTAGATTCCTTCCAACTGTGTACCATCTCAACGATGTTTGTTCATTTTAAAACCATAAATTAGAGAAGAACCATACATGTATAGTACAGGTGTAACTCCCAAGCAAGCTATCAGCTAGCTTTGTCATTGTCATCATTAATTACAACTTATATTTTGTAGTTTTTATCTATGTTATTATATAATATTAGGCAGAGTACAAACAAGGTATGTGACAGGTTTGAAAACAGCTTAAAGCTAGCTAGAAATTAGCTTATGCTCAGAACAAACAGTGTAAGTAAGAATTTTAGAAACCAGTAAATTCTCCGAAAACGGTAAGTTTGAGATAGTTGTTGTGACTCCTCTGAACAGTGTAACAAGATTACATCAAAGTTGAGTTTGCGATGTTTTCTCAACTCAAGCTGTTTTTATCAGCTTTTTGATTGGCATTCCACAGCAGCTCGCGCAAAGTGGTGCATTTCTGTGACGTAGCTCCACCCCGAGAAAAGGGAAAATTCTAGTGTTGCAATTAACTGATAATCCCATAACCCCAAAGTGTTGGCTGAACTATTTTAAGCTCATTTATAACTATCTATATTCCCACATATATTAAGCACATTCAAAACATTGAAAAAATGACCTTTAGATAAAATTGTTACGTTAACCTGGTATAAACTTTTGTTTATTTAGCCTGTGGGTTTCAGGTGGTTTTGAGCCATACAGGAAAGAGTTTCATCTTTTGTACACCCTCCCCTTAACTCTAACCAGACCCTTCAGCGCTACCCAATTTAATTATATATGCCCATCCCAGGGGGATATACAATTGAATTGGCCCAGGGGACTGGGATTGATGGTTAAAGTTAGTAGTTATTATTGTTTTTGAAATTAATTTCAATTAAAATATAAAAGTAAAACATCAAGTGAAATCTTATTATGTTTTGACAACCACAGTCGGTCATTTAATTGATGGGAAAACGGCAGGCATGCATCTGGAAACGTTGTGGATGAATTCAGGACACAAACGTCTCAGCGAATCCAATGTTACTAAATAAACGGCAGCTGATGTGCCTACCTTTCATTATAGTGAAATAGGATAGTTCAGATCAACCAACCAACGACGGGAGGCACGCGCGGATTTTAGGGAGCCCCCCCCCCCTCCCCTCCAACCCGCAAAAAAAGACAAATCAATTGACAAACCCAGCCGACGTCAATAGGAGCCCCCAACACCCCCTCCCCTACCGAATTTCCTGATCCGCCAACTGACGACGAAAAAGAAATAAAAACGAATGGTCTACAGGACTGGGTGTACTGATTTCACGTACTGAAACAAGGTAAAATCATTATGACAATCACTGACGTCGCATTATTGAGGAAATGTGTGAAAATTAAGCAACCTACCGAGAAATTCAAACTACCAATCTGGTATCTCCGAGATCACAGTAAATGCACTATGTTACCTTTGACCTTAATAGTAACTGCGCCCTCAAGCGTTGCTAAATGAACAAAAACTTGGGCATTCTAGTTTGAAATACAATCATACTAGTAGTGTTCCTTACAGCATTCAGTTTTGCTATATAAATAAATGGATTATAATATATACCACGCTCTGAATAAAATAGTTCCAAAATAACAGTTTTCCTTCAAACTAATATTTTGTACTGGGAAATAAAAGTCTGAAAGTTGAATCCTACTCATAAATGCAAATACCAAGAATTTATATTGACCTAGAAACATTTTTGTGGAAATGATGATTGTATTTTAGTGAATAGTTGCCATTTTGTCAGTATTATAATGGTTTTACCATAGGTTCCAGAAATATTATATCTCAAATTATGTAGTCTGGTGACATAGGCTGTAAAAAAATTATATTGTGACTGATGGGGTATTTTTGTTTTTCCCAATAATTTTAAAAATCTGGGTTTAAAAAAAGTGGCAAAAAATGCAATTTTTCTTTAATATTGGGCTCCATGGAATTGTTCTAAAAATAGTTGTTTTTGATAAAAGAATGTTATTTCATGGTGCCATGAGACAATAGCTCCATGATTTCATACTGACCACATTTGAAAACCATCCGATTCGTACGGTTTTGATTAAGCTGACTATCCAATTCCTGTGAAGGCGACGGCTGAATTAATGAACCTTGGCTGGCAAAGATATTTTTAACTGCATGCACCAGTGTAATTTGCTGTTTTTTAATTTATTTCTTTATTGAAGGTACCGGTACATACTATATACTGCCATTGGAGGTAAAAATTACAAGCAATATAGCAGATCCACAATAGATATATTCCTATAGATTTCAGTCAATTATCAGTGTTCATACACTTTTTATCAGTTTTTTAGGATTACTCTGTTCATTTTCTGGGTTATTACATTAGAACAGTAATGGGTTCTTAAGCGAACGGTCCAAATGATCCATTTCCTTGAATTTCAATGGTGATTACAATTGACCACTTTGCAACAGTGATTGGTTTTAAATTCCATGACTTTCTAATATATATTCCAGAACTTTACAAACCCTGAATTACATAAACACAAAAATACAATACACACAAATAAAATGAATCAATTGCTCATTTAATAACAAATACAGAACATTGAACATAACAAATTCATACAAAAGAATTCTTAATAATATAGATAACAAACAAGTACATTTAAGTGCATGGCTTTTTTCTTTCTGTGTATAATACTGTATAAAACACATTAATTATTCACAGGATTTTAATTTTGTTATTTTCACTGATAAGTAAAATTCCCTGAATTAAATCCATGTGAACATGTAAAGTAACAATAATAGAACTCGTTTTTTTGCAACATCAACATAGTGAAATTAAATGCCAGTGAACATAAATGGTTTTTATCCCTTTCTGTGGAAAGCATATTTAGTCAGCAGTCAAGTATTATAGGAGACATGGTCAGTGCCCCATCATAATATACCACAGATGAACATAGGAGAGCTGAAAGGAAAAATCAAGTCTAACAACATAATACTCCCAGATGAAAGAGCTCGGCAAATGTAAGAACATGCAATTTTAATACATGGAGTCCACCATCTTGATTATCCAGATGGATTGTGGGTAAAGTATGACATCATATCCTCTGTAGTCAGAAATTTAGAAAATGTGGAGGTTATTCTTTAGGGAGCATTATGTAGTTTGTCTTGATTTTCCCTTTAACCGTTTATGTACCAATGTCAACTTATGTCATCATTCAAATATTTTAAACCAATAGAATTTTTTCATAATTTTTCCAAAAAATGTTAACATGACTTGTAGCTAATAGAAAATTATGTCCAAAATTATTAAAATTTGTTTGGATATATACGTAAAAACAGGCAAAATGTTATTTATTACATATTACCAGTACTGCTAGTGATGGATGCATAAATGACAGGTGTATGATTAAAATAGATCATATTTTATTGAGCCAGTAAGAGATAAATGCATTTTTTTATTTAGATGCACTTTTAGTAAACACTGTATAAGTGTTCATTCATTGCCAGACCTAATGGAGTTTGTTTTGACACTATTTCCAAAAGTTGCTGTGACTGCATATTATTTGGTTCGCAACAAAATTTCTCTCTCATGAATTTAAAACATTTTACAGTTAATAAGTTGTTATTTGTCTGTAATCCACACCCGATTATATTCATGTGAATTTTGAATGTTACTTACTTCATAGGTTACTTGTGGTTATAGCATGCACGTGAAACAAAATTTGCAAAAAGTGATAAATGACTGATACAAGATTTCAAGACTGTCCAAACAATAAACAGACTTGGTTACTAAGCAGCAACATTTTATTCAGCTGAAGCTGAACTTTTGAACACATTTGACTATCATTAGTTATTATAATCAAATGTATTAATGTATTCCCATGGATGGTCACCAGTATTCTACAAACAGATTTGCTGCTTTCACTGGCTGTAAATCTAGCGTCAAACAATGTGTTTTAATAGTTACTGTGAAATACTTTATTTTCTCTTGGAGTTAATTTTCGCTGAAGGAATGATTCAGTGAAAATAAAATCCAGCGAAATACCTTTTTTTTCTATATTTTGCATTCAACTCGTCAAAGATCAGTGAAAATAAATTCCATACAAAACACCCAAAATGTCTTTTCAGCGAAAATTAATTCCAGCTAAAATAAAGTATTTTACAGTAATTCATATTTTTTTTGTAATGTATTATTTTCAAGTTCAAGGTTCACATGGATATTTCAACAAATTATACAGGAGACAATGACCCTTTAAAGAGTGATGATCATCAGGTGCAATATGGGTGCCATCATGATGTATACAATGCCGGTGACACAAAATGTTTACGGAAACATCAAACACGCACTGTGTAAAGACCACCACCCTTTAACAAAAAAACTATTGTGAGAACTAAACTAATATTGTACAAATGCTCTGCATTTGATATGAAACTGACAAAGTAAAAAGCCACACACATCGGACTAATAACAAGAGGTACATTATTTTCACAGTTTGGGTGCACTGGATTCTACTTCCCTCCATTCCACCTTAAGGTTCTCAGCTATAAAACCATACACGTCAGAGTATTCTTCAATCTACAATGAATACATAAAACATGAGTTTGGTTTATTTATTTTTTAAATATCAGGTTTTTTTTACCCATGTATGTACAATTTATCTACAGTAGGGTACTTAAAATTCATTTTCCACTAAAGGGAATTAATGTATGAGTGAAAATATGTTTTCTTTTTTAAGTTATTACCAAAAATATTACACATGTCAACTAAAATACAATATCAGGTAAAATAAAGTAATCCATAGTATATGGCAAAAATTTAATGTGTAGAATTACTAAAAAGCACAATAAATTACATGTAGAAACCCATTAACAGCCATATTATCTCAACCCTGCTTTTCTGGTCCAAATATTACCTAAAAAATAAATTCAGTGCTAATTCTGAAACTCTGAAACAATATGACATTAGTTATAGATGAAAGAGATAAACAGATTAAACTTGTTTGGGGAAGAAGAACAGTGAAACTTCCCTGAACTGAATACCAAATGGTCTAGGAAATTTATTACTTTACAGAGGTTTTTGATTTATTTATATGTATTATTTATTAACGCTGTGCATTTCCAGAAATCATTTGAACTGAATTAATTTTTTTGTTCAAGTTAATCATTTATCACATTTAAGAGTCATGTGACCCTAAAACAAACTTGAACAAATTTAGGCCAAATGCTTTCTGAAAATTCAATATATGGGTTCAACATTTTTCTAGCAAGAAGACTATCCTGCTACCTTGAGAAGCATGATGAGCTGCACTTTGTTATTTTTTTCGTATTTGTTTTTCTTTGTAATACTAATCCATATGTTTTGTACTAAATAGGCAAATAAATGGCAATACAAGTGTAAGTCAAATTCCAAATATTTATGTTAATCATATATTATGACTTTTTTTCAACAAAAAATAATTTTTAACTGTCTCAGTAATGTATTATTATGCAAAATTGTATTAATTGTTTGGCTATTAAATATACTCCTTCTTAACTTAATACTTTTTTTTGTTTAATATTGTGAAACTCGCAAGCAGATCTGACCAACTTTCATTGCGAGTCTTGTTCAAATTGCACTATCTTAACTGTCCACTCAGAATGTACGTTTCAAACAGAGTATCATTCTGATACACAATATGATGTTGACAGATTCAGTAAATAAAACTTTCTTTCCCATGAATGAGATCTCACTTATGATTAAGTAAATTCTATAACAAATTTGAATTCAAAATCAGATCGTTAAATTTCGCACAAAATGCGAGATTTCCCAGAGAATGGAAGATCTCTAATTTTGTAAAATTCAGGGGAGTTGACGAGTTGGCTCTATGTGTAAAATAACCCTATTTAATTTTTCAATTGTCGTTTATAATATTTCAATTGTAGTATGCGACCCCTTTTACGTTGTATATATATTGGTACATGTATACATTTCAAACATTGGTGAGATTTTATGAGAAAATTGTACCATATATCAGTACTTACAACTTTAGCTGTGGGTTTACCGGCACCATGACCAGCTTTGGTATCAAGTCGGATCATCAGAGGATTGGTTTGTTTGGATTCTGATCCCATTGTGTGTTGTAGTTCAGCAATATACTTCAATGAATGTAAGGGGACTACTCTGTCATCGTGATCGGCTGTTAGTAGTAGCATGGATGGGTACTGGGTATCACCATCTGGTGATTTGATGTTGTGAAGAGGAGAGTACCTATTACAATTAAAAAAAGTGAACCTCAGATTAAGAAAAGAATGTACTTAGAAGAAAGTACAGAAATTAAAAATTAAAATGTTGTATTATGGTTGAAAACACTGATTAATAACAACATTTGATTTAGTGCATTTTGCCATAGGAAGAATATCAGAGTGTCCTCAAAGTCAATATGATACAGATTAGATAGATAGGATCTTGTCAAAAATTAACTTTCATCTTTGTGAAATAATATAAAAGTGCCTTTGAATAAACTTAGTGATTGTATTCTCAAGTTATAATCATAGATCAACAGAAACAAGTATTTCTGATGTACAAAATGACCGCCAGTTGGCCATTTTTTGAAAAAAAAAAAAATCTGAAAAATTTTAGTAGGCTAAAAGGTGTTACCCATATTCTAAGTTTGAACAAAATAGCACACCACAACTTAGAGATAATGACCTACACATATAAAGCTATTATATGGTTGAATATTGTCATTTTGAATCTGAACAAAAAACAAAATCTGATGCAAATAAATTTTGTATTGAGAAGACCATAGCTGAAGAATTTATTACAGTACACATATAACTAGGCATGTCAAAGAATTCAAACTAAATTTTGCAAACAATACAACTATAAAGCACTGGAACTTACTTTATTAAATATTCAAAGTTATCTTTCTTCTCAGAGCAACCAAAGTCAGTGATCCATGCATGACCTATTGTAAACTTATGGAACTTCAGCATGTCCATGACACTGAAATTGACAACAGTATCATGGTAAACAAGTTATGAAATTGACAACAGTAAGGTAAACAAGTCATGGAAATAACAAGTCATTGAAAATGACAGTCCCCATTGGTACTATTTAAAAGGGATCCCTTATGAGCTAAACACCAGGCATCCAAAAGGAAAGTGAATGAAAATGAAACAATTACATGTGATTGCAGATGAAAGCAACAATCTATTTATAAGTTTCAATTGAAGTTAGTGTGGTAAATTTTGTTGATAGCTATGGGAATTTGTTGATACCACAGGCATTGAGCAATGAAACAAAAAACAATATGTCATTATGTCTTGCCTTCGTACCAAATGTGTAAAACACACTTGTATAAAAACAAATTGGCAACTAATCAGCCAATTTGAATCAAATCACAAAACAAAATGGCAAATATTAGCAACCCACCACAAGTCAATATCGAGTTTGAATGACTGATAAATCATTGATGACATGTTCGAAATTTGGATGTATATCATTAAGTCTTGTCTTTGCCCCTACAAAATCAGTCAAGGTACATAAAAAAACGGTAGAAGACAGATGAAAATAACACCAACATGGCCACCAGTCGGCCATATTCATACAAAGTCTGAATAATATCAGCCAAGGCAAGCCTGACATTGATGACAAGTTTGATTTAAGTGGTTTAATTATTTTTTTCACAAAAATGAACACCAGTTGACTGAATGTCAAAGAAATCTAAAAATAACAAAAGACAACTTATTTTTGTATCAAATTTAAACTAAATCTATGAAAGTGTATCTGAGAAACAAAAAAGGATGTCTAAAAAAACAAAATGGCCACCTGTTGGCGAGGGGGGGTCTTGTGGATCGTGACGATGCCCTAGTTTTCAGCATAGAATTCCATTGTACATGTATAACAGCAACACGTACAAGCGACTCTCAATCACCTCACTATTAACAATCACACTAGTGGTAATCATAATATAGAACCTACCCAACTTGGTTGATGATGCAGCCAAATAAATCAGGTCTTTGATTAGCACATGCCGCTACCAGTAAGCCTCCATTGGAGCCTCCATTTAGTGTTATTCTGTGTAAAAGCAAACTCACGTCAAATCAGCTACATGAATAGTGTATACATATCACCCTATAGATCAGTGATGAGTGAAAACTAAAACAACCTGTATGTTATTTCATATGCTGAAGGATTGTGCGTGTTTCAGCCAAGATCCCAGCATATACATGTATGCAGGTTAGCAGGTAATGTCACAAACTCATTTTTTGAAATTTCCTGTCCTTAGTATATATTTCTTTTTGCTACTTATCATTAGTCTTCATATGTCTTCTTATGTCATTGTTATATTTAGATAAAGCAATCAGCCTATCACACAGTTTGTCAATCAAATTTGTTTGTTCACAAATCAGTTACTTTCACGTTGTGCCACCATTGGTACCTCACGGTGACCAAAATAAAAAGAAATTTCATGCTGAATGGTTAACTAATAACTGAGTGATTTATGTTAGTTCAACAAAAGACGTTTCTAAATAGTTTGTGGCTATCGGCCACTACTCGCTATTCCATGTGGTACACTGTAACCTTGTTACAATGAACACCTCTTATAATGAATTTCCTGATATAATGAACAAATTGCATGTCTCCCACTTATAACAAAAACAATGTATTAAGTGCTTCACTATAGTGAACACTTCATTATAACAAACTAATTCCTGAGGCACCCTAGAAAAAGTCAGCGGCATATTTTAAACAGTTTTTTAAAGAAAGTGGAACGAGAGCATCCAGAAGAACTTTTTAAGACAGCTGAGAAACATGGATTTCCAGTTGAAAAAGATGATTTTTCAGAGAAAATGAACTGAAATAGAGATGGTATGTGTGTGTTTCACAGACTAAAATATGACCATGACATGGTTTTTCAACTTCCAAAATACCCGCAAAAAAATATGAAAATATTATGTCATAGCCAAAGATCATTCATTACTCTTGCTCAAGCTGAATAGTGTGCAAATTTGTTGAAAGATGAAGGCAGTTTTATTTCAGGGTAATTTTTACATTGCGAGTTGGAAACATTGATGTTCGATGCACTACGACTCTGTGCGTTTGGAACGTTCAAAATTAGGCAGAGGGTTCTCCGAACCCGCCTATTCACATAGTTCATACCCACCATAGACTCCGGTCAGTCAAAATGACTATTTTGAACTGTAGGCATTAATCAGCGATTCTGCCGGTGACGGAGAGATAGAATCTAGGTCAGGGAAAGCCCCATGACCCCAAGATTCTCTTTCCCTTACGTCACAAACCACGTGACCAAGCCCATATGGCGACGCCATCAGGGCTGGATATCCACT